AAAGCAGGGTAAGTGCCAGAGAAGGCTACCCACGTGACCAGCCCCCAAGGAAAACCCTGGGTACGAGGTCTCCAACGAGCTCTCCCGATGGACAATGTTAGACACATGTTAGCACAGCTCGAAGCTGGCGGAATTGAGGGCAGCCCGGGTGACCTCCCGGGGAGAAGATTCTGGAAGCTTGTGCCTCGTTGCCCCTCCCCCCCCCCCCAACTGGGCCTTGGCCCCTGCACCTCTTCCTCCATCTTGCTCTGCATGCTTTCGCCATAACAACACGCTGAGAACTGAGGCCTAGCAAGCCACCGAACCTGGGGGTAGCCATGGGGATTCTGACGCAGACGTAAGCGGGGTGGGAGAGAAGGCCGGCTGTGAGCCCTGATGCTCCCCGAGGAGGGGCCAGAGGTTCCCCGCATCAACCCGGAGGGTGATCGGGGCAGCAGCTGCTTAGTAACCAGGATGGAACCCTCAACCACACACCCCGCGGGCACTTATCACAGAACCAGGAACCGGCTCTGGAATCATACAGCCGTGGGCCTGCTAGAAACAAAGCTGCATATTCCAAAGAAATCAGCGGGGACGGGAGACACGGGGGCAGCGGTCCCCGAAAGAAATCAGGCAGCGGGCATAAGGGCTATTAGCGTGGAGACCTACAGCACGGAGGCCGCAGGTCCCAGAGACCGAGCAGGCCGGGAGGGCTCCGGGGTCAGGCCCCCCCTCCTGCACTCACGTTCCACCTCCTTCCGCAGCTGCTCCAGCCCCGCCTGCAGCCTCTCCAGGTAGAGCGGCAAGTGGTGGGTCAGCGCCTGCCGGGCCCGGCTCTGGCCCCACAGGGCGGCCACGGCTCGGCCACCTTCCCGCACGGCTCCCAGCCCCACACGTGACAACTGCAGGAGGGGGCCCGCCACACCGTCCAGGGAGCCCGCCGGCTTCACCTGTGTGGGGAAATTGGGGCAGGATCAGGGCAAGGGTCTGGGGCACGCAGCACTCCAGGAGATTCTCAGTCTGGTGAGCGGAGGGAAGGGGATGGGCGCGAGGGGGAGGGGGGGGCTGTCTCTGCACGGAGCCTCCTGTTCTCCGTGTCCCCGACACCCCAGCAGTCTACCCACCAGGCGCCGGAACGTTTCCACATAGGCTTCCAAGCCTCGCATCCTCTTCTCCAGCTGGGCTTGCACTTGGGACCCAATAGCTGCCACACTAGACTGCGGGCACAGAGGGACGGGCTGGGGGCTCGAGGGGGCTCCGCAGGACAGGGGCGCGTAGGAGGTTCTCAGGGCCTGTGACGGGGCCCCAGGATGCATCCACACGCTACGGGGCCTCCTCTGACTTCCTCGGCACTGTTGGACCCTTTCAGGGTCCAGCGGCTCTGTGTCCTCGGTCCCAGAGACAACAGCATCCCTCACGCCCCCCGCCGCCCGGCCGTCTCACCTCCACGCGGCCCAGCAGGGTCCCCGGGCAGCCGTGCGCCTCCAGGCGGACACTCTGGTTGGCAGCCTGCAGGGTCAGGCGTCCCAGCGGCTGGACGGGCCGCCCACTGTCCTGGAGCAGCACCTCGGCCTCAGCCATCCGCCCGTGGGCACACGCCCGCAGCACCACGCTCTCCTGTCGGCTCCCTGGAGCCGGGAAGGGGCCTGCTGTTGCTCCCCAGGACTCAGCCGGTGGCCGCCCTGCTGTCTACTCCACCTCCCCACAGCCTTCTGGAGCTTTCCGTCACCCACAGGCCCTAGAGTTCCCAGTCCTCCCGAGGCCTGGTCTCTTTCTCATCCCCCAGCCCATACCCACCTGGGTCCTGCCCATCTGGACCCTTCTCCCAGCCCCTCCTGATGTCATACAGGTGGCCGCAGGAAGCTCGTCATCACCTCTGGGGAGGGGGGGGTGCCACAAAGTCCTAACAGGGTTTTCCTTGACTCCTGAGCTCTCACCACCCCAATCTCAGTGCTCTCGGGGGCCCACCTGACAGACACTCTGAGCCTCTACTCACCTTCCTCGTGGGCCACAGAGGCCTGGAGGCAGCCCCGGGCCCGGGACACCGACAGTCTCGCTTTCGCGTTGCCATCGTCCACGGTTCCCTCCAGCTGGACCACACACCGAGAAGCCGGGGCGGAAACCCGGCCCCAGAGGCCGAGCCGCTGAGCCTCGGGGCTGAGGATCTGGGGGCGGGAAGGCACAGAGCAGCGGGCAGCCCGGCCCCGGCCCCTGGCTCTTGCCGGCCCCGGGCCCAGGGAGGGCGAAGACAGTGGCCACCCCTGCCCCACACCTCCAGGGACATTGGGACCCCCACGTACACCCCCCCCCCCCCCCCCGCCACGAGGTTCCCAATCCCTACCGAGTGCAGAAAGTACCTATTCAACCCACATCTGGGACCTAACAGGCCAGGGACACCCGCCACCCCCGAGGCTTACAAATTCCCGGTGCCAGGTCTCACCCCAGAGACGCTGCCCTAACTGACCCGGGTGGCCCTGGGCTTGGCATTTTGGACATTCCTGGGTGTTTCCACCTGCAGGCCATGTTTTCCAAAATTGCCTGAGAACCACGCAAGTGTCTCCACAAGATCAAGGAGACGTTGTGGGGAGCCCGTGGCACAAGATGAAGTCACTGACCGTGTATCCCGACCCTTGGAGACACCAAGTCTTGAGGGAGGGGAATTCGGGACAGGTGAGTTTTGAATGGGTGGGGCGTGGGGGGTGGCAACGTCAGGCAAGGCCTCTGAGGCCCTCAGACCAGGAGGACAGCCGCAGGGGGGAGGCCGGTTGGGAGGAGGGGAGGCACCTCTGGCCTGGACGTGGCTGCCCTGTGTTCTAGTCGAGACCCTGCCTCCGGCAAGCCACACATCCCTGAGGATGGTGCCTCGGTGTCAGAATCTGTAAAATGACGTAGGACGGGGGCTCTCTCAACTTAGGGGGAACAGCAGTTACTCTGTGTATGTGGGTTCAGGAGGTGTGTTACTGGCTGAGTCGTGTTCCTCAAAAAGACGGGTGCAAGGTCTCACCCCGTGGATGTGCGATCATTTGGCAATCGGGTCTCCACAGATGTGCTAAAGTAAGACGAGGTTGTACTGCATTAAGTCGGGCCCTGAACCCAACGACTGAGGTCCTGAGAAGACAACCGTGTGAAGAGACAGAGCTTGGAGTGACCCAGCCGTGAGGCAGGAATGCCAAGGATTGCCAGAAGCCGCCAGAAGCCTCTGGAAGCTGGAAGAGGCCAGGAGGGGTAGTTCCCTGGAGCTTCTGAGGGGGGCAAGGCCTCGTGGATGCCTTCATTTTAGACTTCTAGCTTTGAGAACCATGAGAGAAACCATTTCTGTTGTGTTCGGTCACCGAGCTGGGGGTAAGCTGTCGGGCAGGCCGAGGAATCAGGGGCTCACTAACGGGCAGGTTCCAGAGAATCTGTCCCCGAGGATTCCAAGCGGGTGGGGCAGGGCCCAGAATCCTGACGAGGTTTCAGAGTGCACGAGGGGGCTGGGGGTGGGGGCGGGAAATCTGTAGACTGTACTTGGGGCCTCTGTGCCAGATGGCCTCCTGCCGAGCTCCACCCTGCCACTGTCCCTGTCGCTGTCACTGGCTGGTGAGGGCCCCTCCGATGCTGCCGGGGTGAGTACCCGACCTCCTCAATCTGTCCCCCCTCTGCACAGGGGCCTCTGTGTTGGCATGAGAACCACACAAGGCTGGAAAAGGCCTCTATCTACCCCATGGACCCCCCAAATGGGGCAAGTGGCTCACTCCCCGACCTCCAGCTGTGAGAGGCAGGCCTTGGAGCACCGGGATTACAGACATGGGAGCAGCCAGGGGCCTGGCTGGGGAGCAGGGAAACAAGGAGTCAGCTCGGACAACCTCAGAAAGCAAAGCTCTCCTGAACCAGCCGTGCGGCTGGTTCACACAGAGGCCGACCGAGCTCCAGAAGCAGAAATGCCTTCCTCGTCCGGCTCCGGATGCCGGAAGGAAACACCCATCTCACGAGCACCTACTGGGCGCACGCACTGTGCACCCCACTCGGCAGAGGGGGTGGGATTTGCTCCCAGTGGGCAGAGGAGGCAGCGAGGTCAGAAGAAGGAAGGTCACGGAGTTGAGTTCGCTCGGCCAGGGAGACGCAGAGGCGGGCAGCTGGCAGCAGGGACTGAGCACCTACTGTGTGCCTGTGCTAAGTGGGCAGAGGGAGGGGGTGCCCGCAACCCGACCAACTACCCTGTGACGTGTGTCTGCTCCCCGCTTACAGGCGAGGAGACAGGGCTCAGAGAGGTCCCCTCCCGAGACCGCTCAGCCTGTGGGGGCACAGCGGGCGTCAGCCACACCTCTGTTCCTTCCTCCCTTCCCGTGTCGCTGGCCGAAGGAGGGCAAGGACGCTGGGCCGATGTAACAATCGCTAGTACTTAGCGACTGCTTCCTTCCAGGTGCTGCTCTAAGTGATCTACGCGTATTAACGTTTCCAGTCCTTGCAGCGTTAACCCCATGGGAGGCAGGGTAGGTGCAATTATTACTCTCTACTTTACAGGGGGGAGATTGAGGCACAGACGGGGAGCAAGTTGTGAGCAAAGGGGTAGGCTGGGATTCAAACCCAGACAGTCCAGCCACTGCCTCTGAGTTATAGCGAGGGCCAGATGCTGGAGCAAGGGAGGAGCCGCTTTGTCCCAGGGCTGGGGACAGGCTGGAGGGTCCCACCCCCCAGCGAAGCTCTGGTCCCCACCAGGGTGTCAGCCTGCAGTTCCGATAATGGCCACTAGGTGGCAGGGCCGTTGGAGCGGTGGTGGCCTCGCCAGCCAGAGAGGGATAAAGAGCACCCTCCTCCCCCGACCCCGGGGCCGGCCAGCCCTGACCTGGCCACCCACCTCCAGCTCCCCGGAGAAGTCTGGTGTCCGAGGCCTGCTGTGGTTGCGCAGGGTCAGGCTGAGGTGTAGGCCATGGTCTGGGTCCGGGGCAAGGCCCAGCCGACAGTGGGAACGAAGCAGGAGCTCACCGTGGCCCAGGGTGTGCTCCCCAGAGACCGAGAGAGCCTGGGACGAGGGGGTGGGTGTTAGCGGTCGGGGGGCACAAGGGCAGCAGTCTCCTCTCCCCACCAAGCCCTGGTCCAGATGACCAGGGCTGTCGCAGTAGCCTATTGGGTCTCCCTTCCTCCAGTTCAGCGCCAGCCCCCAGTCCCTCCTCCACTTGACAGCCAGACCTCCCTATAAAAATGCAAATCAGTCAGTACCCCCTTGCTCACAACTCTCTGCCTTCCCACTGTCCTGAGAAGAAAAGCTGGTCTCCTGGGCCTGACCCATGGGACAGCATTATCTTCTTAACCTCACCTCCTTGCTAAGGGCTGCCCCATGTTCCTCAAATACCCTAAGCATATCTGGCCACAGGGCCTTTGCACTAGCTGTTCCCTGTACAGAGTTTGCTTGTCAATGAGGCCCCTCTGCAATCCCGTGTCCTCTCTCCCTGCTTCCTTCCTTCAGAGCGTTCATCATCCCTGAGTACTTATCATGCCTCTTGTTTAACTTTTTCCACCCAGGGGCATGTGAGCTCCAGCGGGTAGGGCATCCGGTCTGCCCCTTTCACCATCCTTGTCCCTGCACCTAGAACAGGGCTTTGAGTAAGTGAACCCCACAATGCTCTCTGAATGAATGGATGAGTGGGGTTGGGAAACTGGCCCAAGGGCCAAATTTGGCCTGCCCGGCGAGTCACTGGCACATTTCGGAAACCTCTTTTTCAGATTACCAGCACGTCCCCACCCCTACTCTGCCCTGAGGAGAGGCTGTTCCCAGAATCCCTGTCACCCCTCAGGCAGGAGGTCTGTGTCACTGGACAACTGAGCTGACCTAGTTCCTGCTCCCCCTGACTTCATCTAAACCCCCTTTTCTTGGTCTTGGGCCCAGCAGCGGGGAGACGTGGGCCCCACTCTGCAGCCCAGAGTGTACCCCACCAGGCCCGCATCCCCAGACACCGGCAGAGAATGAGCTCTTTTGTTTACACGTATTTATGACAGCAAAGTTAAGTAACTGTAACAGAGACCATATGGCTTGAAAAGCTAAAATGTTGCTATTTGGCCAGTTATGAAAAAGCCTGACCCTGGGATGGATGAGAAGATGGATGGATGGATGGGAGGGTAGGTGAGGAGATGGGTGGGAGGGAGGGTGGATAGAAAGACGGACGGACAGGAGGGTAGGTGGGTGGGTGAGTGGGTGGATGGATGGATGGACAGATGGACAGGAGAGTAGGTGAGTAGGTGGGTGGGTGGGTGGGTGGATGGATGGATGCATAGACGGACGGACAGGAGGGTAGGTAGGTGGGTGGGTGGACGGACAGACGGACAGGAGGGTAGGTGAGTAGGGGGGTGGGTGGGTGGATGGATGGATGGACAGACGGATGGACAGGAGGGTAGGTGGGTGAGTAGACGGATGGACAGACAAGAGGGTAGGTGGGTGGGTAGGTGGGTGGGTGGGTGGATGGATGGATGGATGGATGGATGGATGGATGGATGGACAGATGGACAGATGGACGGATGGACAGGAGGGTTGGTGAATGGATGGGTGGAGGAATGGTGGGATGGAGGGATGGATAGCAGGGTAGGTGAGTGGGTGGGTGGGCGGGTGGATGGAGGGATGGATAGAAGGGTAGGTGAGTAGGTGGGTGGGTAGACGGCTGGGTGGTTGGGTAGGTGGCTGAGTGGGTAGGTGGATGGGTGGACGGATGGACAACGGACGGACAGCAGGGTGGGTGAAGACGTAGGTGGCTGGATGGGAGGGTGGGTGGGTGGGTGGGAGGAAGGACCAATCAACCAGCTGACAAACTCAGGCAGAATGTTGGGAGAAAGGGGTCCCAGCACCCTACCTCTAACAACGATGAGACTAAGCATAGCTTTCATTTACGTGTAAACCCTCTTCCTGTGTCACGTGTTAAACCTCACAATCACCCTACACACCGGAACCTAGTACTTCTTCTGCTCCCCAGGTGAATCACCGAACATTCAAAGTATGGACCCTGCCTGTGGTCAACCGGCCGACAAATGGCACAGCGGTGACGCTGGCACCCAGCGCCCTCACACACACCCCTGCACTCTGCAGATGCTGTCCTCTCTCCTCACCCTCCCTCCATGGGTCCCTGGGCGCCTTCCCTGGGGCGGACTCACCCTGGGCAGGTCACAGAGCCCCAGGTGCAGGGAATGGTGTAGCCAGTGGCCGTAGTCGGTCTCCACTTCTCCCCGGAAGCTCTGGGTGGCGCAGGAGGCAGTGAAGATATGCTCTAGCACGACGCCCGCATGGATCTGGTCTGGCTGGGACGGCCAGTGCCTCTGGAATGACACGGCCCCGTGAGGCAGGGGCTCATCCCAGTAGAGGAGGGAAAGGCCCCGGCCGGCTGCAGACGGGAGACCCTGACAAGAGGGGAGCAGGTGCCCTGAGTTCCGCTATGATGGCCCCGGTCAGCCACAGCAGCCATGTATACTCTGGGCAGGAGGGCTGCTGGAGGCACCAAGGCAGCTGGACCTAGGGGTGCCAGAACGCGGGTGCGAGACCCCAGAAGGAGCACGGTGGGCTTCCAGGGCCGGGTGTCCCCATTTCTCCACGGCCCGGTGTCTGCTCCAAGGGCTCACCTCATGCTGGGTGCCTTGCTTTCCTCACCTCCCAGAGCTGTCACTATACCCCAGTCAGGGAAGGACTACTGCACCCACTTTCCAGCTGGGAACACCAAGGCTCACTGTGGAGACATGGGTACTCATGGTCCCACAGCACAGCTGGCCCTGGCACCCAGGACCACATGGCTTCAGAGCCGGGCACTTTCTATGGCAGACGGGGCCGCCCTGTGGGTACCTGCCTGGGACCCGGCTTTCTAGGCCTCACCTCATAGGTCAGGTTCTGCCGCACCCGGCGTCGGTCCCAGGACAGGTCGAGCTGCTCGCTGAACACGGCCGTGGTCTGTGTCAAGGCCCCACAGGCCCTGAGGGCGCCCAGGCCCCAGGTGGCCCGGAACTGACAAGAGGATGGAGTACGTGACTCAGGGCCAGCACAGGGGCCCAGAGTCAGGGAAAGGCCCGCGCTCGACGTGGCAGTCCCACCAAGGCCTACCTGCCCCGGGGAGGCGGCCAGGCAGCCGTCCCAGATGGTATCGTACCCCGAGGACCTGTCAGCCCAGGTGAGGTGCAAGGTCACGGGCTGCCCTCTGTCCAAGGCCAGCTGCACCTGCATCAGATGGAGGCCGGTGAGGGGGGTGGGAAGCGGAAGAGGATGTTCTGTGTGTGTGTGCTGCAGGGGCGGGGGGCGGGGAGAGGGAGGGTGGCCCCCTTCCCCACCACTCCAGGGGATGAAGCAGGGAACTGGAGACAAAGTCCTGCCCCCGCCCATCCCACCCCGGCTGCAAGAGCTCAGAGCCACGCCCAGACGAGGCAGCTTCAAGTATTTCAGTGGAAGACACCTCATTGCCAACACCCAGACTTGCCCTTTCCAGAAGGAAATCGGAGCCCCCCGACTCAGGGCCTCTGGGGCTGCTCTGGACTCAGTGTGCGCCCCGCTCCCCTAATCTTCCCACTGAAGCCCTCGTCCCCCTGTGATGGCAGGAGGAAGCGGGGCTGACGGGAGGTCGTGAGGCGGGCCTCATGGTGGAACCAGCGCTCCTGTAACCACAGACTCCAGAGAGCTCTCTCCCTGGCACGTGAGGACACGGAAGGCTGCAAGCCAGCAAGAGAGGTCTCACCGGGACCTGAGCAAGCTGGACCCTTGATCGTGGACTTCTAGCCTCTGGAAGTGGGAGACGTACATTTTTGTTTTAAGCGACAGACACTATCTAGCCCGCAGTGTTTTGTTATGGCAGCGGAGGCCGCCCAAGGCAGGGGTCCTCAGCTGCTATCTCCCGGCACCTGTCCCGTCACTTACTCTGTTGCAGCCCAATTGCCTCTGGCCCTTTCCGAAGCACCCCAGCCTGTTCCCACCTCAGGACCTTTGCACTTGCTGTCCCCCCTCTATACCCAAAATGCTATTCCTCCAGCTTGCCACAAGGTGGCTCCCTCTCACTCGTGAGTCCTCCGCTGACAAACCACTTCCTCCAGGAGGCCCTCACTGACCACCCCATCTATTTAGTCTCTATCTCAGCCTACTCTCTGCTTTCTTCAGAGTGCTTGTCACAACTCTTAATTTTTCCTCATTCATTTGTTTGAATTTTAGACAGGGTCTTCGGCCTGCAACATGCTGTCTACTGTCTACACACACTGGTCTACTGTTTTCCGTTTCACAGCTGAAACAACTGAGGCTCAGAGAGGGCCCATGAGCTGCCCAAGGCCACCCAGCTGGTTGAGGAGTCGAGCTGCCCTGCCCATATCCCCCTGCAGTTTCTGATTAAACAAGCAAGCATATAAATGATGAGTCAGACACGCTTGTAAGCTCTTTAAATGCAGCACTGTAGGTCTCACACACTACCTGGCATGCAGTAGGTGTTTAATAAAGTACTGATAAAGGAATGAATGACCAAAGGACCTCTCAGGGTCCCAAATTTCAGGAATCTGCGATTCTGGAGGAGTCCTTCACACCGGTAGACAGGCAGAACCTTCTCCCCCAGCTCAGCCATGCAGCTCGCCAACCACCAAGACGACACGACAGCCACCTCGGATGCTCCCCCCTCACCTGCCAGCTCTCCTTGCCAACCCTGCTCTCAGCAAGGCCGCTGGCCTCCATGCACCACCAGGACAGGTTGAAGGGCTGAGCCAGGGCCAGGCGGGCGGCCAGCTTGTCCCTCCCCAACTGCAGAGAGGAGGAGACCACCACCTGGGGAGGGGGACAGGCTGAGCCCGAGGCCTCGCCCACAAGGGCATCCCCCTCCCCACCCTGTACAGACAACCTTCTCCAAGGTCAAAGGGCCTGAGAGCACAAAACTCCCAGGACTGCGGCGGAGGGGGGGGGGGGGCCTTGGAGAGATCCAGCCCATTTTGCAGAGGACAAAGTTGAGGCCCGGGGAGGAGCAGGCAGGGACAGTGAGGACACAGATGGGGCAGAGAATGGTACACATGGTGACGAAGACACGGGCCAGGGGCATCAAGGAGTTAGAATCACAGCCCTGCCTTCCACTAGCTCCGCGACTCCGGAGAAGTCACTATACCTCCTTGAGGTTCAGTGTCACCATCGGAACGTGGGGCTGCCGTGCCGGGCACATGATAAGCCTTCCCTGTGCATTCACCACTGGTTTCCCTGTTGTCGCTCAGGTGTGGCTGGAACCCAGGCTCCACTCCCCACCCCGTGCCTTTCCCACGGTCTCTTGGGGCCTGTAACCAGCTGGCTTGGCCCGAGTAAGGCTCCTTGGGCAGGCCTGGGCCCCGAGGGTCCTGCTCGGCCTGCAGGCCTGGTAGAGTTCCCGGGGTCCCCTTCCAACCCAGATACCCACCTGGTCTTTGCCATCCCAGCCCACGGCCAGGTGGTCCTGGCGTCCACGTCGTGAATGCTCGGAGGACAGGCTGAGACTGCAGTGTCGCGGCAGGGAGAGGGGCAGCTGGTGCGTGAGCTCCACTGGGTGGGGGCACAGGGAGGGCCGGAGAGGGCCCGGGGGGGATCTCAGCAGACAATGCGACCACCTCGGGCAAGGTGGCCACTTAGGGGCCACGTGCTCAGGTAATCCACACAAAATTCAGAAGCTACACCTTCACTGGGTCACCAACCACTCAACGCACCCGCCCCCCACCCCCCCGTCCCTATGAGAGCCCCAAATCTCCCCTCCCCGCTTTGCAGGGAGACTCAGCACCTCCTGCATCAAGAGGTGGAGCCCTCGAACCTGGGCCTTGAGACTTATTGATAGGAGTTGGGGAAGGGGATGCTGCC